GGGATGTCGTACTCCTGTGATGACAGTAGCTTAACCTTAACAGATGCTCAATAAATGGATATTGAATTTAGACTGATCTCATTTTATGCGAGAAGAAATGGAATTGCGCAAAGATGTATTGCCCAGAACCATTCAACTAGTTAGTTGCAGAGCTGGGCCAGAACCTAAGTCCTCCAGTTTCTCAACCAGTTCCTTTTCTATTAGAAGCTACTATAATGACTGTTTTTGTTTATTTTTGTTTTTTGTTTTTGTTTTTACTCCTATCACCTGACACAGGGTAGGCATGAAATGTTTTATAGCATTTTATTATTTTTTTTCATCACCCTGCCCCCCCCCTTCCTTCCCCTCTGGTAACCATCAATGTATTCTCTGTGGTTAAAAGTCTTTTTCTTGGTTTGTCTCTCTCTCTCTCTCTTTTTTTTTCCTTTGCTTGTTTGTTTTGTTTCTTAAATTCCACATATGAGTGAGATCATATGGTATTTGTCTTTCTCTGACTTATTTCATTTAACATACTTTCTAGCTCTATCCATGTCATTGCAAATGGCAAGATTTCGTTCTTTTTTATGGCTGAGTAATATTCCATTGTACTTTTTTTTTTTTTTTTAATGTTCATTTATTTTTGAGACACATAGAGAGATACAGAGCACAAACCAGGGAGGGGCAGAGAGAGAAGGAGACACAGAATCCAAAGCAGACTCCAGGCTCTGAGCTGTCAGCACAGGGCTCTGTGGGGCTTGAACTCACAAGCCGTGAGATCATGACCTGAGCCAAAGACAGATGCTTAACAGACTGAGCCACCCAGGTGCCCCTCCATTGTACTTTAAAAAAAAATTTTTTTTTTAATGTTTATTTATTTTTGAGACAGAGAGAGAGCATGAATGGGAGAGGGTCAGATAGAGAGGGAGACACAGAATCTGAAGCAGGCTCCAGGCTCTGAACTATCAGCACAGAGCCTGACGTGGGGCTCGCACTCATGGACCGTGAGATCATGACCTGAGCCAAAGTCGTACGCTTAACCGACTGAGCCACCCAGGCGCCCCCATTGTACTTTTTTAATATCATTTTAGTTTAAGAAATGTTGAATACACCTGTATAATTTTTTTGAATGGCTGGTGGCACTTACTAGGTCTGTTTATGAATGGCAGTCTAGTAGAAAGAATAAGGATTTTGGAGTCAAACTAGGTCCAAATCTCTGCTTTGCCTGTTAGCACTTGGGCAAGTGTCTTAATCTTTCTAAACAGAGGCTTTAACATCTCAACAAATAGAGATAATAATAGCTACCACATGGTGTTGTTATAATAAATGAAATAAGGTTATTTGGAGTATTTAGTTTGGTATGTGGCATAAATCAAAGGCTTCAGTAAATATTTGTAAAATGAGTAAGGGGTAAGTATTACTGTATTGATCTCACTCCTGGGGAGTCAACATACTTTACCTTTCAGATGTGTCCTGTTCTTTACAGACATGTATCCTTATTGCCATAGTTAAACTGCAGTTTAGCTAACTTCTTTTTGTGTAGAAATGTCCGCTTCAGCTACCTCACAACCTTTTAATTTTTTTTAATTCCAGATTAATCCATGGAGGACAGTTGTTAAATGGATTGGCAGGTCCAACGGTAATGAATGCAGCTCCATTTCTCTCTACGACGTGGTTTTCTGCAGATGAACGGGCCACTGCCACAGCCATTGCATCAATGCTCAGTTATCTTGGTGGAGCATGTGCATTTTTAGTTGGGCCACTTGTTGTTCCAGCCCCCAATGGAACATCACCTCTTCTTGCTTCAGAGACTAGCAGGACCCACATTAAAGATCTCATAGAGACTGTATTATATGCAGGTATTTTAAAGTTTATTTTCTTCCCGCTCTACTTTGTCTTTTATCCCAGTAATCTTCACTCCACTCTGTACACCAGATCACTTCCTACGAAATACTTAGGAGTTCCAAAACATACATATACATGCATGTTTTTCTTGTCATATAATATGGAGATGCCTATTTAAAACTTACCCTTTCTAAGAAGTTATTAAGTTTAAAATGTATTATTGCTACATGGAAGTTTATTCCTTAATTTTTCTCTTCCCATCTGTTTACAACTAAGCACTGTATAACACATTGTCTACTGTCTTTTCTAGATATCTTATCGGAATATAAAATTACTGGTAGCTGGCAAGCCCATTTTCTCCCTTGCCATTTCCCTGCTCTTCTCTGACCTGGTATACATAGGTCACCCACAGTTTATTCTCTTCTCCACTTCCTATTCTCTGTATGTTGGTCTATTAATAAGGGGTATTGACCTTTCCAAAACATCTTCTTGGTCCTTTCTTTTTATTTCTAGAGTCAGGTTCTAGTCTGCTCTTCTATTACAGTCTCTTAACAGATCTCCTTAAATACATCTCCCTTGCTGTATGCCTATTTGTTATTTTCTTCTGCATTCAGAAAACTTTTTATAAGTTTTACTATATACTCAGCACTGTGCTAAGCACTGAGAATTGGTAAGGTCACTGATAAGACAGTTGCAGTACAAATAGACATACAGAGCCTGAGAAGCCTAACCTACCTGAGATTGGAGGGAACTTGAGGAGTCAGGGAAGGCTTCACCAAGACTGTGATAATTAAACAAAGTTCAGAATTTCATAGGAGTTCAGCAAATGTTCCAGTGAGGTAGGGTATTCCGTATAGAAGGAATAACCACTGCAAAGGCAGATACGGTATGAGAGAACTCAATATGTCCAGAGAACTGCACATAACTTAATATGGCTGAAGTAGTGTAAATATGTGTCTTTGCATATAGGTAACAAGTGGCAGAAAATGAGGCTAGAAGGATAAGGAACTATATTATGATGAACTTTTTATTAATTTATTCACTTATTAAGTGAACAGATATATTTTGACCTCCTATATATCTGTCCCTGTGCTAGGCACTGAGGTAGACATGATTCCTGCTCTCACAGAACTTACAGTGTCCCAAAGGAACAGACAGGTAAACAGCTGTAAAATAGGGTAGTAAGTGCTATAAATGAAGGCTGACAATTGTTCTGAGACCTCAGAGGAGGAGGACCTAACCTAGATTTTAAAGGTCAAGTAGAGCTTCCTGATAATGCAGCACCTAAGTTGGAGCCTGAAGGATGATAGGGAGTTAGCCAAATACAGTGGGCAGGAGGAACAATATACTAGAAAGAGAGAGAGAAAGAGAGAGAGCCATGGAGGAGAAGCCCAGTAAGGGGTGAGAGCCTGCTATCTTCAAGCAGCTCAAAGCCCAGAGTGGCTTAGACTCGGTGAGAGTAGTGACAGATAAAGCTAGAGAGGTAAGCCAGGCCATACAAGCCTTCTAAGCAGGGCTAAAGGGTTTGAAATTCACTATATTGTAGGCAAACGCCACACTCTGAAGAATTTTACATTAGAGAGTTATGCAGTGATATTTACATTTCAAAATATGTTTTAGAGGGAATAAAACAAAAGCAGAGGTTGCGGTATATATAAAGTATTTAATCCCCCCCCCCACCTTAAACAACTCCTTTTAAAGAAAAAAAAATTGAAATTAAAAAAAAATTTTTAATGTTTATTTCTGAGAGAGAGAGAAAGAGAGAGAACATGAGCAGGTGAAGGTCAGAGAGAGAGAGGGAAACAAACAATCCAAAGCAGGCTTCAGGCTCTGAGCTGTCAGCACAGAGCCTGATGCGGGGCTCGAACTCGTGAACCGTGAGATCATGACCTGAACCGAAACTAAGAGTCAGATGCTTAACCAACTTAACCAGTCAGGAGCCCTAAAAACTTTTGTGTTTGAAAGGATATCCATCAACAAAGTGAAAAGACAGCTTGCTTTGGGAATGGGAGAAAATAGTAGCAAATCATATATCTGATAAAGGACTTATATCCAGAATATATAGAGAACTCTTAAAACTCAACAATAAAAAGACAACCCAATTAGAAAATGGGCAAAGGACTCAAAACTTCTCCATAGGAAAAATATATATGGCCAACAAGCCCATAAAAGATGCTTGTCATTAGTCATTAGGGAAATACAAATCAAAACCATAATGAGATACACTTCACATCCAGCAGGATGCTATAATCAATAAAATAGGATGGGGCACTGGCTGGCTCAGGTGGTAGAGCATGTGACTCTTGATCTCGAGGTTGTGAGTTCAAGCCCCACACTGCGTGGGGAGGTTTACTTAAAATCTATTTTAAAAAGTGGGAAATTGGGGCGCCTGGGTGGCACAGTCGGTTAAGCGTTCGACTTCAGCCAGGTCACGATCTCGCGGTCCATGAGTTCGAGCCCCGCGTCAGGCTCTGGGCTGATGGCTCAGAGCCTGGAGCCTGTTTCTGATTCTGTGTCTCCCTCTCTCTCTGCCCCTCCCCCATTCATGCTTTGTCTCTCTCTGTCCCAAAAATAAATTAAAAAAAAAAAAACGTTGAAAAAAAATTATTAAAAAGTGGGAAATAAATGTTGGTAAAAAAGTAGCAAAATGGGAACCTTCATATATTGCTAGTAGCAGAATAAAATGGTACAATCACATTGGAAACAGTTTGGGCAGTTCTTCGAAGTGTTAAATATATATTATCATATGATCTAACAATTGCATCTCTAGGTATATACCCAAGTGAAGTAAAAATATATCCATGCAAAAATTTATACACAAATGTTTGTAGTAGCATCATTCATAACAGCCAAAAGGTGGAAACAATCCAAATGTCTATTAACTAACTGAATAAAAAATGTACTTCATCTGTCCAATGGAATATTATTTGGCAATGAACAAGAATAAAAGTACTGATACATGCTCCAACATACTTGAACCTTGAAAACATTATGTTAAGTAAAAAACGCTGGTTACAAAGACCACACATGTGGTATGATTCCATTTATATGAGATGTCCACTATACTCAAATCCATAGAAACTGGAAGGTAAACGAGTGATTGCCTAGGGCTGGGAGATTTGGGAATGGGGAATGGATACAGAGTTTCTTTGGAGGATGATGAAAAGGTTCTAAAATTGATTGTGGTGATGGTTACACAATTCTGTGAGTATACTAAAAAATGTATCTCTGGGGGCGCCTGGATGGCTCAGTCGGTTGAGCGGCTGACTTTGGCGCAGGTCATGATCTCGCGGTCCATGAGTTCGAGCCCCGCATCGGGCTCTGTGCTGACAGCTCAGAGCCTGGAGCCTGCTTCAGATTCTGTGTCTCCCTCTCTCTGACCCTCCCCCGTTCATGCTCTGTCTCTCTCTGTCTCAAAAATAAATAAACGTTAAAAAGTGTATCTCTGAAGCTCTTTGCAAAAATGCCAACAGAAAGATGGGTCAAAAATGTCAATAGAATGTGAACAAGGCAATCCCAGAAGAAGAAATACTAATGGTCAATAAGTGTGTAGAAGATGCTCATTCATTGTTGTTAATCAAAAGATCTGCAAATTAAAACAATTCATTATCTTCTTATTGCTCCTCAGTCTAACAGAGAACAAAGACATCTTCTATGGTTAAATTCCTTATAGGAATATTGTACCTTTTGCTCAGAATATAATAGCCCTAGAATCATAAGTATCCATCTGAAAAGACTCTAGAAATCACTTAGTCCAGTCCCTTTATTGACCACAAAGAATAAAGAATTCATCCAAATTACGTTAATTAATGGTACAGGCAGGTCTCTATTCCAAGTTTCTTAACTTTTCTATTTGAGTCTTGCTTTTCTACTAAATTGGACATAACAGAAGTTGGGATTTACATGTGCCAAAACTCTGGAGGGAATGATCAGGACTGCAAGGAACTTTTCCTTGTTAATAGTGCCAAACTAACATTGTTTGGATGTTCGTTTTACTTCTAATCGCTTAATATTCTATATTAGCGAGTCTTTTTATTCGTTAAGTTTTGCTCTCTTATTTTTGGATGCTTTCCTGTTTTGTTCAAATTCCCCATACAGCCTATAAATTCAGTCTTTCCTAAACTGTGCTTCAGAATATCCAGTCATTGATCAAATAAACCAATTAAACTGATTGGATCTGTTAGGCATCTGACTTTGGCTCAGGTCATGACCTCACAGTTAGTGAGTTCTAGCCCTGCATCAGGCTCTACAGTGACAGTGTGGAGCCTGCCTGGGATTTTCTCTCTCTGTCCCACCCCCACTTGTTCTTTCTCTCTCTCTCTCTTTCTCTCTCTCTCTCTCTCAAAAATAAAGAACCTTAAAAAAAACAAAAAACAAAACCCTTCTCCTAGCCTGTTCCTACAATTTCTGTATCATATACTTTCTTTCTGATTACGGTACTTATTAATCAACCTAGATCTGTTTCAAAGGCTTATAGTACAGTACTGTTGATTTTTCATGTTTTCTCCATAGAATAATATTTGTTTACTGTCTCAATCTTTTCATCTATGTGGTATACCATTGTATGACTTCTTACCAGACTTTTCACGGGCTAAAATTTATATCTTTACATATCTATTTTTTTTCCACAAGACTGAACTATCTTGGCTAGATACTGTATTTTGCTTATCTTTTTATGCATAGAGCTTAGTTGATGATTTGTTAGATAAGTAAATACTTGAAACATTGAACTTTTTATGTTATCTGGTTAACATTTTATTCTTTTTTTTCTTCCCTACCCCCAGAATTTGGAGTTGTCTGCTTACTATTTTCTGCAACACTAGCTTATTTCCCACCTCGGCCTCCACTTCCTCCCAGTGTTGCTGCAGCTAGCCAGCGACTGAGTTATCGGCGGAGCTTTTGTAGATTATTAAGGTAAATATACTTTAAGTCACTGAGTGGTTTTGATCAGTACCTTCAAGATAATTTCACATTTAGTTAAGGTCATTTTGCAAATTGATTGCAAATAATTGATAAAATACTGATTAAAACCTCTATAAGTTTTGCCTTTTCTACATGCCACCAATGCTATTATTACTTAATCTTTTAAAAAATCAAACTTTTATTGAAATAATTTTCTTTTATAAGGAAATATCACATAATAGTATCTGTGGAATCATGGATTTTATGTGTTTATTATATTTTTCATAATATTTAAGGTTTTTGTTCATTATGTATTTCTTAGTTCACATTAAAATAAACAAGTACTAGTCAGTACAAAGTGAATAAAATATATAAGGTTTATTTACAGCTCCCCTAAAATTAATCATCTCATGCCGGGATCATACTTTTAAAACTTACTATTTTATTTTATTGATATAACTTAACTGTAATTTTATTAAACTCTACCCTTGAATGTTCAATTGCCCAGTACTAAATTTAATTATTTGAATATATGGACTATCACTGGTGATTATGATTTGCAGTTGGGCTGCTAGAACTTATCTTTTGAATTTTTTTCTCAGTTTGTTGTGATGAGTTTTTATTGATTCATCAGCAACTCTCTGGTTGGTTCTTTCTCTTCTTTTTTTTCTGCCTCCTATCAGTGGTAAGTTCCTTGTGGCCAAGAACTATGTCTTTATAGCCACTTTAGTAATATTGTCCAGTAGGAATGTAATGTGAGCCACATGTAATTTTAAATTTTCTAATAGCCTCATTAAAAAAAGTAAAAGAAACCAGTAAAATTAATTTTAATAGCATATTTTATTTAACCCAGTATATCAGAAGTATTCTTTAAAAAAAATTTTTTTTTTAACGTTTATTTATTTTTGAGACAGAGAGAGACAGAGCATGAACGGGGGAGGGTCAGAGAGAGGGAGACACAGATTCTGAAACAGGCTCCAGGCTCTGAGCTGTCAGCACTGAGCCCGACACGGGGCTCGAACTCAGAAACCGCGAGATCATGACCTGAGCTGAAGTCGGCCGCTTAACCGACTGAGCCACCCAGGCGCCCCCAGAAGTATTATTTTAATATGTAATAAATATTCAAAATTATTGAGATTTTTTTATGTTCTTTTATTCGAACCAAAGTTTTGAAATCTAGTTGTATACTTTTACACTTAAAGCATATCACAATTCAGATGCTAGATTTTCATTAGAAATAGTCTGCATTGAAATTTCATTAAATTTAATTTCATTAAATTTTTTACCTGAAAAAGTTTTCATCGAGCAGTCTCGCACGTTGCACTACTTATCTAAAGTTCAAAGTAACTTTGCAATATTTCAAATTTTGAATCAACACATCGTTGATATTTGAAAAATCTTATATTCTACAAGCAATTGTTGGGGCTTTAATGGAAGATCTTTTACTTCCATAAAATAGATATAAAATTTTTTTCTTTATCATTTTTAACAAAATTATCATAGCTAACATAACAATTTCTTTTACCATCTCTCCATCTAAAAATGATTTTCTTTTTGGAGGAGCCAAGATGGCGGAACAGCATGGAAGTTTTTTTAGCGTGTCACGTCCATGAAAGACAGCCAGATCAACACTAAAAATGGTTTTCTTTTTGTGCAGGAACCCAAACCGTTTTATAACTGGCCAAAGTTATAAGTCCGATCTGTTTTAAAAAACTGTTTTTTAATGTTTTTTTGGACATTTAATTCCGGTTTTGGACAACTAATTTTTTTTATTCCTTTTTGACTGATGAAAAGGAGCTTCCTATAAAATTTACTCTGTATCTGTTGAACATGTCCCTTATTATCCACTTAATGGTCTTTCAATTTTTTTACACAGCATTCATTTTGCTCTGCTGCAACAGATTGCAGTTCCCATTCATTGTGAAATTTACAACATACTTTCTTCTACTTTCTTATTTTTTTTCATAAGATATTCAAATAAAGTACAATGTTACCTCTATGTGGAACAAAAATACTGAGAACTGAGTCAGTTCACCGACACCAAGATCAGTGGTAGGTTGTAATACTAGAAACAACACATGCTACACCTACACATTACAATAAAATCTTACCCGGTGCAGTTAAAGTGAAATGTAGTCCTACCAAAACAAAAATAAAGTTGTGATTAATGGGAAAGTACTTTTCACTGCTCCTGTTTTTTAAGTTTGGTTTAGGTTAATTACAATGAAATAAAATGAAAAATTCAGTTCCTCAGTTGCACTAGCCACATTTCATGTGTTCAATAGCCACATGTGGCTAGTGGCTACCAAGTTAGACAACACAGCCATGCAACATTGTTTTTCAAACTTTGGTTCACAGCCAACTAATTTAGTAGGTTGACCACCTTAAAAAAAAAAATAAGAAAAGAAAAAGTAGAATGAAATTAGAATGGAAATATTATTGTATCACCTGTAGTAAGAATACATATTTTTTGTGAGACTTTTGTTTCACAATCTATGTCTGTCTATGTGGGTAGATCACAATATATTTCTTGCTTTGGAGTACAGAGAAAAGCTTTTTTCTGGAGTACAGAAAACCGCAACTCCTGGCACCAAAGTGGCTCAGTTAGTTAGGCACCCGACTCTTGATTTTGGCTCAAGTCATCATATCCTCGTTTGTGGGGTCGAGCCCCATGTCATGCCCTGTGCTGACAGTGCAGAGCCTGCTTGGGATTCTCTCTCTCCCTCCCCGTCCCCCACTCATGTGTTCTCTTTCTCTCTCTTTCTCTCTCAAGATAAATAAATAAACTTAAAAAAAGAAGAAGCCATATCTCTACAGGGAGGCCTGGTTGGCTCAGTCAGTAGAGCATCTAACTCGATCTCAGGGTTGTGAGTTCAAGCCCCACACTGGGCGTGGAGCCTACTTTAACAACAACAACAAAATACATGTCTACAGCACTTAGTATATTCCCTTACATGTAAGAGGCAAATTAAATATTAGTGAAATTGAATGGTGATCAGTGGCACATATTTGTAAAATAACAGTTTAAAATGTGGTTATTTTAAGTTTATTTATTTTGAGAAAGAGCATGAGCAGGGGAGGGCAGAGAGAGAGTGAGAGTGAGAATCCCAAGCAAGCTCTGCAATGTCAGTGCAGAGCCTGATATGGGGCTCGAACCCACAAACTGCAAGACCATGACCTGAGCAGAAACCAAGAGCCAGACGCCCAACCAACTGAGCCACCCAGGCACTCCTAAAATGATGGGGTTTTTAAATGCTATTTAAGTTTTTCTCCATACAACACCAGAGATTAGATAGCAATTAATAAGGCTGGAGAGGTAGCTTAGGCTATCTTATGCCATACTAATAATTTGGATTAGTCTATAGAAAATGAGGGGTCACTGAAGGATTTTAAGCTAAGGAGTTAGGTAAAAAATTATTCTGACAAGGAAAAACAACCTAAAATTATCACTCTGGCCAAAGTATATACCCTGGATTTGCTTCTAATTACTCTACCATTGAGATCTTTATTCTCTGTTTGAACTATAAAGGATAAGATCTTTCCTCTCTATAAAAAACCCTTTTCACCAATACCTAACATTCCTTTGTTTCTTCCATTATGTGTCTGTTTATTCTGCAGGATTGCCTGCTTCTCCCTTTAGGCTCTCTAGGATACTTCTTTGGACCTGCCATGCCCCATTCCCCTAGCCTATCAATGTAATTTTCTCTGGCCTTTCAAAGGACACTTGAAGTCATTACTTTCTGGATTAATCAGAATAACTAACTGGATTCTAATTCCCTTGTCTGGGGAAACAACAAAATCACTGGTTATGCTCCAAAGTTTTCAACGCTGTTATTTATTTATTATCCACATGATTCCCACGTCTTACTATGTGTTTAACCTGTGTAACCTGAGTGAGCCTTCCTCTCCCTTTATACATTACTTTAATGTTTGATGATAGTGGTTGTTGTCTTTGCCTTTTAGACTTGAAGAGTGGAGAGCTGAGTTGATGTGTTTCTTCAGGGCACAGGAACGCATTTATTCATTCATTTATTCATTTGTTCATTTATTTATATTTCCCACTCCCATTTCCCTCCCCCTACCCAGGCTACCTCTCAAATGCATTTAATCTTTATTTTTCGTTTATTTAATTAATTTTATTTTGTAATACATGTTTTGTAGCATCTGTGTTTAATTTATCCAAATGATGGCACATTATGTATCTCAGTCTGAGTTTTTTTCACTAAATGATATGTTTTTTCAAATAACTTTTCATTTTTGGAAGTTATAGTAATATACAAAGGTAGAATAGTATAACCCCCATATGTCCATAACCCAATGGGAACAGTCACTGATTTATACCCAATATTGTTTCATCTGTAATCCACCCACTCCTCCACTTCTTGTATTATGAAGCAAATCCAAGATGACCAATCAGCCATAAACATTTCAATATGTGTAATATATGTTAGAAAGGTGGGGACTCTTTTAACACTAGTTTGCTAATATCAGATCAATGCTTAAATTTCCAACTGTCTCATAAGTGTTTTTTTAACAATTTGAGTCAGAATCCAAATTTGGCTCATGCATTGCACTTGGTTCAAATGCCTTATAACCTATAGGTTTCCTTTCTTTTTTTAATTTTTATTATTTTTTTTTAATTTTTTTTTCAACGTTTATTTATTTTTGGGACAGAGAGAGACAGAGCATGAACAGGGGAGGGACAGAGAGAGAGGGAGACACAGAATCGGAAACAGGCTCCAGGCTCTGAGCCATCAGCCCAGAGCCTGACGCGGGGCTCGAACTCATGGACCGCGAGATCGTGACCTGGCTGAAGTCGGACGCTTAACCGACTGCGCCACCCAGGCGCCCCTATAGGTTTCCTTTCTATCTCACTTTTTTCCTTGTAATTCATTTATAGAAGAGCCAGCTCTTTTGTCCCCAAGGTCTGGATTTCGTTGATTGCCTCCTTGTGATAGAGTTTGCCATGTTCCTCTGTCCTTTGTATTTTCTATAAATTGTTAGAGCTATGTTATGATTTGGAGTTTTATTTGGTTTTACAAGACTACTTCACAGGTGATGCTACTTTTTTCCATCAGGAGGCACATGATGTCTGGATAGCTCTCATTTTGTGATATTAGCACTCCATTTTCTTTTCTTTTTTTTTTTTTAATTTTTTTAATGTTTATTTTCGAGAGAGAGAGAGAGAGACAGCATAAGCAGAGGAGGGGCAGAGAGAGAGGAAGACACAGAATCTGAAGCAGGCTCCAGGCTCTGAGCTGTCAGCACAGAGCCCAATGAAGGGCTTGAACTCATGACCCGTGAGATCATGACCTGAGCCAAAGTCAGACGCTTAACCAACTGAGCCACCCAGGTGCCCCAGCACTCCATTTTCAAGATGCATCCCTATTGCTGTGTTTTTTGTGTTGTTTTTTTTTTTTTGTACTCTGTAGTATGAAACCTTCACATTTTATGTACCCCCTCTGGCTGTGTGTCCAGATTGCCTCCAATTCATTGTCACCACAAATACTGCAATGACATTCTAATATGAGTCACCATGGACCTGAGAATTTCCTTGGAAAATAGATTCCATGGGAGGATGGTGGGGTCGTAAGATATTTTAAGCTTGATTTGCCAAGTATTGCCAGATTTTCCTAAAAAATGCCTCCCCTTATCCATACCTCGATCAGCAGTGCCTATTTCCCTGCATGCCTACCAAACTTGGTATGATTCATCTTCCTAATTTTTGCCAGTCTAATAGATATGAACTAATATATCTTTTGTTTAATTTGCATTAATAAGTTAGAGACTCTCATGATGTGATAGCTTGCCTTATGGGTTTCATCTACTATAAATTCCTCTTCATAGCTTCTCTCCATTTCCTAATGGTAATTGTTTTCCTATCTTTTTCTTAACGATTTACATATTCTAGGTATAAGCTCCTTGTATATTAAAAAATTCCAAGTATCTATTCCAATTCTTTCATCTGCCTACAAATTTTATTGATGGACTCCTTAATTATCAACTTTCTGGTTTTATCTTTTACATTTAGGTATTCAACCCACCTAGAATCTACCTTAGTATGTGATGTTATCTAATGATGCAGGAGTTTTGGGGTTTTTTCCCCATAGAAGAAACTAGCACTACTTACTGAACAATTGTTAGCAGTTTGTTAGCCCTCTATTCTCCTCCATTGTGCTAGTTCTTGAGCTATTCCCATACTACTTTTATTATGGCCCTGCAGCTTGTCTTTTTTTTTTTTTTTAATGTTTATTTATTTTTGAGAGAGAGACTGAGTGCGAGTGGGGGAGGGGCAGAGAGAGAGGGAGGCACAGAATCTGAAGCAGGCTCACAGAGCCTGATGCGGGGCTCAAACCCATGAACCATGAGATCCTGACCTGTGCCGAAGTCCGATGCTTAACCAACTGAGCCACCCAGGCACCCTAGTTTATCTTGGTAGGATAAGGGCTTCCTTTTTCATATTTTTTAGAAGATAAGTTAGCTTTCCAAGGACTTTTTTTTCTTCCATATAAACTTTAGAGCATGTTTCTTAAGTTTCTAAAAAAATTCAACTGGAACTTTAATAATGATTACATTAAATTTATAGATTAATTTGAGATCAGTTGACAGTATGGATGATCTCTCCATCTATTTAGATCATTTTCTATGCCCTTAAAGGTTACTTCCTCCTCCCCTCCCCCCTCCCCCCCCCGAGATTTTGGACTTTCCTAGCTATTGTTAATAGTATGTAATTTTTATTACATTTTTTAAATTAAGCTTTTTATTTTTGAGATACTTACAGATTCACATGTAGTTGTAGGAAATAATACAGAAAGATAATGTGGGCTCTTTACCCAGTTTCCCCCAATGATAATATCTTACAAAACTGTTGATAGTCAAGGTACAGAACATTTCCATCACCACAAGGATTCCTTTTTTTTGTCCTTTAGTAGCCATATCTACTTCTTAACCCCTGGCAAACACTGATCTCTTCTCCATTACTATAATGTCAGTTCAAGAATGTTATATAAATGGAATAATATAGTACATAAATTTTGCGATTGGTTTAAAAAATAGAAAGAGATGCAAACCAGGAAACAGACTCTTAACTGTAGGGAACAAATTGAGGGTTACTAGAGGGGGGTGGGGGGGATGGGTTAAATGGGTGATGGGCATTAAGGAGGATACTTGTGATGAGCACTGGGTATTGTATGTAAGTGATGAATCACTAAATCCTACACCTGAAACTAATATTGTATGTTAACTAACTAGAATTAAAAAAAACAACCATAATTCTCTAGAGAGTTATCCAGGGTGTTTTGTGTATGAGTAGTTACTCCTCTTTATTACTGAGTAGTATTCCATGGTGTTGATGTACACAGTTTGTGTAACTGTTGACCTGTCAAAGGACATCTGGGTTGATTTTAGTGTTTTTGTTTGGTTGGTGTTTTTGGATATGATACATAAACATTTGTATATAGGTTTTTGCTGTGAACATAGGTTTTCATTTCTCTGGGGTAAATGCCTAGGAGTGTAATTGCTGGATTGTATGGTAGTTGCATATTTAGTTTTTTTAAAGCCCTGCCAGTCTATTTTCCAGAGTAGCTGTGCCATTTTTCTTTACCACAAGCAGTATACAAGTCATCTAGTTTTTGGGCATCTTCACCAGACTTTGGTGTTATCACTATGTTTTTGTTTTAACCACTTTGATAGGAATGTAGAAGTACAGTCTCTGCAGAGGGCACTTGGCATTATCGATTAAAGTTACAAATACACATACTCTTTTGACATGGTAGTTGCACTTCTAGAAGTCAATTCTCCAACTGTACTAGTGCAGATGTGAAACGACTGTAAGAGCAAAGAGCAAATTTATATATATATATAATATATAATAAAAATATATATATATATTTATATTATATATATAAATATATATATTTTATATATATATATAAAAATATATATATATGGTGAAATAAATTATATACCAACATAATGGAGTACTACCCAGCTCTAAGAAAGAGTAAGAAAACTCTGTCTGTATTGACTGTGGAAGAGTTCTAAGACTTATTAAGTTAAAAAAGTAAAATTCAGGGGCACCTGGACAGCTCAGTCCTTTGGGCTCTCAATAATACATCTCTCAATAATAAATAGACGTTAAAAAATAAAAAATAAAGTAAAATTCAGCAAATGGTTGTAACATACTATCATTTATGTAAAAAGATTGGGGAAAGAATATATATATAATTGTGAATATATGTTAATATGTACATATATAAAATAACATATGTAATACTATATATTTATATACAATGTATATACACACATATGTATATACATAGTCTTATATATTTTGAGATGTTTCTGAGAAATTGCCCAAGAAAGCAAGAACATTGGTAATTGTGGGAAGAGGGGAATGGGGTAAGAGGGACATGTTTTCCCCATATTTTTATACCTTTCTGGTTTTGAGCCATTTGCATTGTATTGCTTATTAAAATCTTTGATTAATACAAACTTAAAATTTTTTTTAATGTTTATTTATTTTTGAGAGAAAGAGACAGAGTATGAGCTTGGGAGGGGCAGAGAGAGAGGGAGACATAGAATCTGAAGCAGGCTCCAGGCTCTGAGCTGTCAGCACAGAGCCCGATGCTGGGCTTGAACTCAACAAACCGCAAGATCATGACCTGAGCTAAAGTCAGACACTTAACTGACTAAGCCACCCAGACACCCCAACAAACTTTAATATCAATAAAGCAAAAGTGAAAACTGTTCTCTGAAAATAATAAAACTAGCAAGTTATGTATTTTTAATCTTTGGTTTTTCTTCCCTCCACTCTGTTTATATAGAGAAATAGTAATTTAACCTGTACCTACTCATTGTATGAAATAATGTTGATAACTCATCTGTATAATAAACTTTGACAATTTTAATATGAACAAAAAAGGTTTTTTTTTTTAATTTTTTTAACGTTTATTTATTACTGAGAGACAGAGACAGAGCATGAGCAGCAGAGGGGTGGAGAAAGAGGGAGACACAGAATCTGAAGCAGGCTCCAGGCTGAGCTGTCAGCACATAGCCCGATGCGGGGCTGGAACTCACAAACCAGGAGATCATGACCTGAGCCGAAGTCAGACGCCTAACCAATTGTGCCACCCAGGTGCCCCACAAAAAATATTATTTTTATGTAAACAAAAAATTTAAAGACCGTTGAATTTATTAACAAACTAATTATTAACAAACTGAATATTTTCTATTTCTGATTCTGGTGTTCCAATTTCCAAATGACTTACATTTTTCATGAGTAAGAATTTAAATTCAGGGGCAGCTGGGTGGCTCTGTTGGTTGAGTGTCTAACTCTTGATTTTGGCTCAGGTCATGATCCCAGGGTTATAGGATCAAGCCCCATGTTGGGCTCCATGCTGAGGATGGAGCCTGTTTAGGATTCTCTCTCTTTTTCCATCTGCCCCTCTCCCTACCTTGTGCTGGCTCGCTCTCTCTCTCTCTCTCTCTGTCTCATAAATAAATAAATAAATAAATAAATAAATAAATAAATAAATAAATAAAGGCATGAAGAAAGTGATTCTACTTGCTTTAAAAAATGTTTAGGGGCGCCTGGGTGGCACAGTCGGTTAAGCGTCCGACTTCAGCCAGGTCACGATCTCGTGGTCCATGAGTTCGAGCCCCACGTCAGGCTCTGGGCTGATGGCTCAGAGCCTGGAGCCTGTTTCCGATTCTGTGTCTCCCTCTCTCTCTGCCCCTCCCCCATTCATGCTCTGTCTCTCTCTGTCCCAAAAATAAATAAACGTTGAAAAAAAATTTTTTTTAATTCACAATTTTGAATCTGTAATGATATTTTCTTTTCTCATTTACAGCAATATGAGATTTTTGATGATTGCTTTAGCATATGCCATACCACTTGGTGTATTTGCTGGCTGGTCTGGAGTTCTGGACTTAATTTTAACACCAGTGCATGTCAGTCAAGTAAGTATTTCATTTCTTTATATGTTGGAGATATTTTTTAGTACGTTTAAATTGTAAATATTGTCTGCGTGTTCTTGGTTTAAACTTCAAGGCCTGGGTAACCATTATCCAATACCATTGTTGCAAAAGCAAGATCCTAGGGAGCCCGGGTATCTAGTGAGTTAAGCGTCTGATTCTTGATCTTGGCTCAGGTCATGATCTCTCAATTCATGAGATCGAGCCCCATATTGGGCTCTGCACTGACAGCGTGGAGCCTGCTTGGAATTCTCTCTCTCCTTCTCTGTCTGTCCCTCCCTGGCTCATGTTCATTCTCTCTCTCTTTTTCAAAAATAAATAAACTTAAAAAAAAAATCCTTTGAAATAGTTAAAAATAATATTGATTTTCTTCCTGGGTTTTGTTAACAGCCATGAATTTTACATTTATTTGGCTATTATTAATGATGCTAATAAACAGAAAAATAAAGAAGGAAAATCTTCCTTTGCTGACTCCATCCTAATCTTGCTCCTTACTTTATAAAGAAGATTAAGACCCCATCATCAAATATATGGCTAACGTCGACATCTAATTTCTCACTTTCTCCCTAGTCTCAGAATAAGGGTACCTCATTTCTTTAAAAATAACCGTGTACCGGGGCGCCTGGGTGGCGCAGTCGGTTAAGCGTCCGACTTCAGCCAGGTCACGATCTCGTGGTCCGTGAGTTCGAGCCCCGCGTCAGGCTCTGGGCTGATGGCTCAGAGCCTGGAGCCTGTTTCCGATTCTGTGTCTCCCTCTCTCTCTGCCCCTCCCCCGTTCATGCTCTGTCTCTCTCTGTCCCAAAAATAAATAAACATTAAAAAATATATATTAAAAAAAAAATAACCATGTACCTATGATTATTTTTGACCTATATTTTTGACCTATATGATTCAGGCCATGTATTCCTTCTCCTTACTTCCAGACAGCATGGTAGAAAGGGATAGAGAGATTTGGAGGGGCAAATGGAAGCAATCCAGCACGCTGGTGTGACTTTCTATTGTATGAATGAACAACAATTTTCCATTCTGCTTTTGATGAACATTTGGATTGTTTACAGTTTTTAACTGTCACAATCACAAACAATGCTGTATGAATGTTATCATACATGTTTCTTGATGCACCTCTATACACATTTCTGTTGGATATGTAGCTAGCAATAGAATTGTTGGTTATAGTATATTCCTGGTTTGATAGATGATGCCAAACTTCCCCAGAGTGGTTGTATGAGTTTATAGTTTTACCAGCAGGATATGAAATTTCTCATTGCTCCACATCTTTACCAACACTTGACAATGTTAGTCTTTTTTTTTTTTTTTAATGTTTGTTCATTTTTGAGAGATAACATAGTGGGGGAAGGGCAGAGAGAGAGAGGGACAGAGAATCCTAAGCGGGCTCTGTGCTGACAGCAGAGAACCCAATGCGGGGCTCAAACTCATGTGAGATCATGACCTGACCCAAAGTCTGACATTTAACCAAATAAGCCACCCAGGTGCCTGAGTCTCTAAAGTTAGAAATGCTGGGCGCCTGGGTGGCTCAGTCACTTGAGCGTCTGACTTCGCCTCAGGTTGTGATCTCACAGTTTGTGGGTTCAAGCCCCACATTGGGCTCTGTGCTGACAGCTCGGAGCCTGGAGTCTGTTTCAGATTCTTGTACCACCCCCTCCGCCACACTTGTGCTCTGTGTCTCTCTCTTCCTCAAATATAAATAAACATTAAAAAATTTTTTTTAATTTTTTTAATGTTTGTTTATATTTGAGGGAGAGAGAGACAGAGTGCAAGCAGGGGAGGGGCAAAGAGAGAGGGAGACACAGAATATGAAGCAGGCTTCAGGCTCTGAGCCATCAGCACAGAGCCCGACGCAGAGCTCGAACTCACGAACTGCAAGATCATGACCTGAGCTGAAGTTGGTCACTTAACTGACTGAGCCACCCAGGCGCCCCTAAAAAAATTTTTTTTAAGTTAGAAATGCTAATGGATATGCAGTTAAATGCCACTATAATGGGGCGCTTGGGTGGCTCAGTTGGTTAAGCATCTGACTTCGACTCAGGTCATGATCTCACGGTCCATGAGTTCAAGCCCCGCATCGGGCTCTGTGCTGACAGCTCAGAGCCTGGAGCCTGTTTCAGATTCTGTGTCTCCCTCTCTCTCTGGCCCTCCCCCATTCATGCTCTGTTTCTCTCTGTCTCAAAAATAAATGTTTAAAAAAAAATAAATGCCACTATAATGATATCTTTTTGTTTGATATTTGAATATCCTTTTTTGTGACACACCTGGTCAAGTCTCTTGCCCACCATTGGGCTGCCTTTTTCTTACTGATTGTAAAGAAGAGAGCTATGCAGGGCACCTGGGCGGCTCAGTCTATTAAGCATCCCACTCTTGATTTCAGCTCAGGTCATGATCTCATGGTCATGGGATCAAGCTATGTGCACATCAGGCTATGTGCTCATGGTGCGGAGCCTGCTTGCAAACTTCTCTCTCCCTCTCTCTCTGCTCCTCCCATGCACACACTCTCTCCCTCTTTCTCAAAATAAATAAACTTTTTGTGAAAAAAAAAAAGTACTAAAATATATTTTTAAAAAAGAGCTGTGCAGAAGGAGGCTCCCCAGAGCACTGTATGGGGTCCTCAGCACGTCTTAGACTGAGAAATGAACTGCACATGTAAACGGCAAAACTATTAGAGGCTTAACAGAAAGATTTCTATGACGTTGAAAGCAGAACGAATACAGTAGAGGGTAAGCAGTGCTGGGCTCTTAGAGTTCTAGCTCAACCAGAATGGTAATACCTCATTAACACCTTTTTAATACCTTGGGCTTCTGCTAAGACACAGAATCTAGGCCAAAATTTAAAATCAAGAACCATGTTCTAGGTAAGATAAGGCCTATTCTACTTAGACCCACAATACCCAAGGCCTAAAAACAAGCCCTGATAAAAATCTGCAGAGGAGACAATTTGGAGACTGAATCCTACCAAGTGAGGGGGTCTTGAGAAACATTTAGGTTTCTACTTATCTTCCTTAATAAAACACAAAATCAAGCCAACAGAAGTTCAAGGTGATCAGTTATTAATTGAACTGCCTGCTAACACAAAAATCAACCATTTTAGAGAAAGATAAAAGGATCCAGAACCTTTATATTGTGTCATCCACAGCATGTACCACACTGTTAAAAAAAAAATTAGACGGGGCGCCTGGGTGGCTCGGTTGGTTAAGCTTTGGCTCAAGTCATGATCTCACGGTTTGTGGGTTCAAGCCCCACGTCGGGCTCTGTGCTGACAGCTCAGAGCCTGGAGCCTGCTTCAGATTCTATGTCTCCGTCTCTTTCTGCCCCTCCCCTGCTCATGCTCTGGCGCTCGCTCTCTCTCTCTCTCTCTCAAAAATAAACATTAAAAAAATTTTTTTAAATAAAAAAAAATTAGAAAATTGTGGCCCATATTTACAAAAAGGAAGTATTGAATAGAAACCAACTCAAAGATAGCCTACATGTTGGACATAACAGAGACCATAATGCAAAAGAGTGAGAAAGAAAGAAAGAAATCTTTGCTTGCTCAAAGTTGATGAGCATATTCCCCTATGTTAACCTGTGGCACTGTGTTGTCTGGTGCAGTAGCCACTAGCCAATCATAGCTATTTAATTTGGAATTTAAATTAGTTGGGATGAAATAAAGATAAAAATTCACTTCCTCAATGGCCACCTTCTGGCTACCTTTCAGGTGCTCAGTAGCCACTTGTGACTTGTGGCTGCCATATTTAGGACAGTGCAGATACAGAACATATCTGTCATCATAGAAAACACTGTCAGTGCTGTTCTAGAAGTTTTATCATTAGTCCTGTCACATTTAAACCTAGAATTGAATTGTGTGCTCATTATAAGGTAGGTGTTAAGTTTCTTTTTTTTTTTTTCCCCATATAGGTATGCATTAACCTGGTATCAGTTTTTGAAAAGATTATGCTTTTCTTATTGTACTCTAGTGTCAACTTTGTCTTAATGAAGTGCCCTTATGTGCACAGATATGTTTCTAAACTGTTTTTTCCCTTATAGTCTATTTTGCCTGTCTTTGTGCCAATACCAAAGTGTCTCAAGTGTTTTAGTGTTATAATAAGTTTTCGTATTTCATAGAATAAATATGCCCCTTTATTGGGATTTTGACTAGAATTTTTTGAATCTAGAAGATCACTTTGAAAATTAAGGTATTTGTAATACTGAGCCCTCTGAACCATGTTCATTGTATTTCTGTACATTTACTAAAGTCCTAATGTCTCTGAATGATGCTTTATAATTTTCTGCAAAGAACTCTTCTATGTATTTGTTAGATTCAGTCCCAGGTATACGATATTTTCTGAGGCTATTGTAATTGGTATCTTTAAAATTTTTTCTTTTCTGGGGCACCTGGCTGGCTCAGTCAGTAAAGCATGTGACTCTTGGTCTTGGGGTTGTGAGTGTAAGCCCCACGATGGGCTTACTTAAAATTTTATTTTCTGTTGGGTGGCATATAGAAGTATAGTTGACTTTTGCAAGGAATTGAAATATACCTGATCTTGTATCCAGCAGCCTTGTTAAACTCACTTACTTGTTTTAGTAATTCACCAACAGATACATTGGCCTCTTTACATATCAGTTGTGACTAATGACAAGTAGATGGAGAAAAGTACATTTTAAAAAATTTAACACTTGAGATAATCATATGATTTTTCTCTTTTAAATTTCTAATGTGGCAAATTACATTTACTGATTATTAAATGTTAACCCACCTTGCATTCCTGTACCAAATCCTATTGTCAGTGACTTGTTACATTTTTTATATATCACTGGACTCATATGTTCATGTTTTACTTAAGACTGTTTACATTTATGCGCATGAATGAGATTGGACTATAATTTTCTTTTCTTTTTCTGTCCTTTAAGTTTTGGTATCAGGTTTTTACCAGTCTCAAAAACAAATAAGGAGGCATTTTTTTCCCCTCTCTTAGTGGGGAGTTTGTGTAATCT